AATTGCAGTTTCATGATTGAATCCGCTTTTTCTCGCTCTTCTCGCTTCTCTTGCATTTTACTTCTTTCTTTCTCGGCGGAGTGATACGTTATTGTCGGCGGGTGGCGGTTGTGCGGCCGCATGTAGTGCCAGAGCTGAGCAGACGGCTGCTGACGTCGGCAAACGACAGTGCGGTCGTCCCACACTTTTGTTTTCACGCAAACACGCACGCGCATACGCTAACACATGCATGCACACACACACACACACACACACACACACACACACACACACACACACACACACACACACACACACACACACACACACACACACACACACACACACACACACACACACACACACACACACACACACACACACACACACACACACACACACACACACACACACACACACACACACACACACACACACACACACACACACACACATATATATATATACTTTTGCGTGAACTCAGATTGTCGGACTCTATACGTCTCATTGCTGCGCCATGCTGTGTAGTACACGCTCGCTCACATTACATGCGAGCATTGTGAATGATATTGAAGAGCGTATAAGTGAATCGAGTTCACGAAAAAGTGATGTGTAATGTATGTATGTATGTATTGTGTCTCTGCTCGCGCTTGCCTGCGCCGCGCGCGCGTTGTGTGTGTGTGTGTGGTGTGTGTGTGTGTGTGTGTGTGTGTGGTGCGTGGTGGTGTATGTGTGTGCCATGCTGTAGTGTGTCGTCGTGCTGATGCGTTCGTGTGCTATGTAGCGTGACCTTGCCTCCGGGTGCCGTGCTGTCGATCCCTCATGTGCTGCGTCGCGTTGTGCTGTGCGTGCGCGCGAGCCGTGTGTGTCGTGTAGTGCGTGCGTGCGTGCGTACAGATGCGGCTTGGTGCCGTGTGTGTAGCGTGCGTGCCGAGCGTGTCGTGTGTGACATACACCTCGTGTCGCTACCCAGATCACGCGGAAGTTACTAATTTGCTTGATGAAAAAGCGTCCTAATTAGAACGTGGATCATCTCTCGCGATGAGTATTCTATGTCGCGCGAGATAACGCGAAAAACTTGATCCTCTCTCGTTCTCTCCCTCTCCCTCTTTTTTACCTGCCTCTGCATTTAATTGAGGAATTTTCAACAAATTTCGATTTATAGAAGGCCGAGCTGGCGGCTCATTCCACCACCTGGCGGTTTCCGGCACTTAATTTCATTACCAAAATTATTTCAGAAAACATATTAACTTTCAAACTACCTTAAAATATACACAGCCAAATAAGTGTGCGCATGAACGCTGTCGCTAAGCTAATTAGCAGTAATTAGTTACTTAACGTAGTTAATTTATTATTACATTTTTAGGTTATATTGTTGACGCGTTCCTCGCAATATCCTGATTTATATATGACAGCGCATGCCTTGTGACGACGGTCATGATTGCGTGTCATTATATGACACGATTGCCTTTGGCGAGGTCATGATGCCGTGTCATTATATGACAGCGACGCATTGTTGACGCATGGTCATGATGCGTGTCAATTATATGACAGCGAATGCATTAATGTTGACGAGGGCTTGATGCGTGTCATACTTTATGACAGCGATTCATGGTGATGACGCGTCATGCATGGCGTGTTCATTATATGACCAGCGATGCATTCTGACGAGCGTCTTTGATTGCGTATCATTACTATGACAGCGATGCATTCTGACGAGTCTGATGCGTTCATTAATATGACAGTCGATGCAATGCTGTGACTGAGAGGTCATGATGCGTGTCATGTATATGACAGCGACTGCCTTTGACGATCATGATGGTGCATTATATGACAGCGATGCATTGTGAGAGGTCATGATACGTGTATTATATGACAGGCGAATCCTTGTTGACGAGGTCATGATGCGCTGTCATTTATAGACAGCGCACTGCATCTGTGACGACGCTCATGATGCCGTGTCATATATATGACAGCGATGCATTAATGGACGAGGTCTTGATGCGTGTCCATTATATGACAGCGATGCATTGTGACGAGGTCATGCATTGCGCCTGTCATTAGTATCGACTACGATGCATTGTGACGACGGCTGAATGCGTGCATTATATGACAGCCGATGCCATTCGTACGACGGTCTTGATGCTGGCATTATATGACAGCGACGTGGCATTGTGACGAGTCATGATGCGTGCTCATTATATGACAGCGATGCCTTTTGGACAAGGTCATATGGCGTGTCATTATATGACAGCCGATGCATTGTGAAGAGTCTTGATGCGTGTCATTATATGACAGCGATGCCTTGTGATCGAGGTCTTGATGCTGTGTCATTATATGACCAGCGACTGCATTGTGACGCAGTCTTGATGCCGTGTCAATTATATGCAGCGAAATGCCTTGTGAAGAAGTCATGATGCGTGTCATTATAAAATGACAGCGATCGCATTTGACGACGGTCATGATGCGTCGTCATTATATGACAGCGCAGCATTGTCACGGAGTTCATGCAGCGCTGTCATTATGATTGACAGATGCATTGTGACGAGTCTGATGCGTGTCATATATGACAGCCGACTGCATTGCTGACTGACCGGTCATGATGCGTGTCATTATATGACAGCGATGCATTGTGACGAGGTCTTGATGCGTGTCATTATATGACAGCGATGCATTGTGACGAGGTCATGATGCGTGTCATTATATGACAGCCGAGTTTCATTGTGACGATCATGAATGCGTGTCCATTATATGATCAGCGATGCCTTGTGGACGAGGTCATGAGCGTGTCATATATATGACAGCGATGCATTGCTGAAGAGTCTTGATGCGTGTCATTATATGACAGCGATGCCTCCTGTGACGAGGGTCTTGATGCGTGTCATTATATGACAGCGACTGCTTGGTGACTGAGGTCATGATGCGCTTCATTATATGACAGCCGCATGCCTTTTGTGCACGAGGTCTTGATGTCCGGCTGCATTATATACAGCGGTGCCTTGCTGACGAGCCGTCATGATGACACGTGTCATTATATGACAGCGATGCATTGTGGAAGAGGTCTTGATGGGCCGTGTCATTATATGACAGCGATGCCCTTGTTGACGAGTCTTCGATGCCGTTCATTATATGACAGCGATGCATTGTGACGAGTCTTGATGCGTGCATATATGACAGCGATGCCTTTGAAGAGCATGATGCCTGGTCATTTATGCGTCTCATACATGAGCTCACGAATCAACAGACAGAGAGTCATAGTAGAACCACAAGAGCTCAGTAGAGAGAGAGAGAGAGAGGGAGGTGGAGAAAGAAAGAGAAAGCGAGATGAGATACAGAGAGTGAGTGAGAGAGAATGAGAGAGAAAAAGAAAGAGAGAGAGAGAGAGAGAGACGCTTCGAAGAGAGAGAGAGAGAGAGAGAGCTGAGACGAGAATGACGAACGAAGAGACGAGAACGAGCGAAGAGAGAGAGAGAGAGAGAGAGAGAGAGAGAGAGAGGACGGACGACACACACACACACACACACACACACACACACACACACACACACACACACACACACACACACACACACACACACACGCACGCACGTATGTGTGAGCGTGCGTATCATGGGCTTCATTATGATCCAATCAGTGGCTTTAATGAGAGTAGGAGATTCGTAATGACGCAGTAATAATTCACAATGCCTCCGTAAGCCTGCTTTTGTGCGTGTGCGTATGCCTGCTCGCTCGGTGCACGCGGGGGAAAACTTTGCAAAGATTGCTTTTCCCATTCATGGCGTTTTTACCGTTTCGCGTGGCCGACGTTGTCGCCGCGTGACTGACTTTGTGAGGTGCCTATCATGGTGACATTACTGTCATTGTCAAGTACCTGCATTGCGACGTCCCTGTCATTGTCAAGTACCTGTCATTGTGACGTCCCTGTCATTGTCAAGTACCTGTCATTGTGACGTCCCTGTCATTGTCAAGTACTTGTCATTGTGACGCCCTTGTCATTGTCAAGTACCTGTCATTGTGACGTCCCTGTCATTGTCAAGTACCTGGCAATTACCGACTTCCACAAAAACCACTAGGGGGGAGGAAAACATTTACTGTAAGAAAACAAAACGCACGCACACACTCACGCACGCATACACGCACGCATGCACACACGCACACTTGCACACGCACGCACGCACACACACGCACACACACACACACACACACACACACACACACACACAC